CCCACAAACGGCAGCAAGCCCCGCGCGGCCTACGCCGAGAAGCTGCGGCGCCTGGGCTTCGGCGGCCCGACAGGGCCGGACGCCGGCCTCGAGGTCTTCGGCACGGCCTACTGCACCGCGCTCTACCTGCGCCAGCGCCTGGCCGGCGCGCCGGCGCCCAAGGCCTATGTCCTGGGCAGCCCAGCCCTGGCCGCGGAGCTGGAGGCCGTGGGCGTGGCCTGCGTCGCTCGAACCTGACGTGCGCGCTGTGGTGGTGGGCTTCGATCCGCACTTCAGCTACATGAAGCTCATCAAGGCCGTGCGCTACCTGCAACAGCCCGGATGCCTACTCGTGGGCACCAACATGGACAACCGGCTCCCGCTCGAGAATGGCCACTTCATCGCGGGTCCGTGCGCGCCCGGGCGGGAGGCCAGAGGGCGGGCATTGGGCTTTCCCCGCCCTCTGACCCTGGTGCCCTTTCCCCTACCTCTCACTCTGCCCCGCAGGTACGGGCTGTCTGGTCCGAGCTGTGGAGGTGGCTGCCCAGCGCCAGGCTGACATCATCGGGAAGCCCAGCCGCTTCATCTTCGACTGCGTGTCCCAGGAGTATGGCATCCGCCCGGAGCACACCGTCATGGTGGGAGACCGCCTGGACACAGACATCCTCCTGGGTGTCACCTGTGGCCTGAAGACCATCCTCACCCTCACTGGAGTGTCCACGCTAGGGGATGTGAAGAGTAACCAGGAGAGTGACTGTGTGTCGAAGAAGAAGATGGTCCCTGACTTCTACGTTGACAGCATAGCCGACCTTTTGCCTGCTCTTCAAGGTTAAAGACATAGTGTCTTTAATCTCCAGAATAAAAGAAAAAAATTGGAAATCAGTTACCCAAGTTAATAGGTGGGGCTTAAGCATCTGCTCAGCTAGGTGGCTTCCAAGTGGAATCGGAGTTCAGCAAAGGCATTAGTTGTTAACCCTGTAAGTAAACGTTTAGGGGTGAACTGTTTTACAGATGTGCTTATATTTTAAGCACGGAGGACGTGGGGAGGGGCTGGGCCTTGGGTGCTGTTTGCAAGGGCAGCCTTGGCACCTGTCCAGGATTCAGGTAATTTGGGGACCTGCTAATGGGACTGAGGCAGGCCCACAGGTGTTTGTTGTGTATTTTACTGAACGTTTCAGGGATCACGCCTCCTTGAAGAGCAGAAGGGAGCAGGGAGTCATTGTGACTGTTCTGAGAAACTTGTTCAGACCAGACCAGGGCCCCTCAACCAGCTGCTGTACCCCAGCTTCTTCACTGCAAGGCAGGAGTGGGGGCGTCTGTTCCCCAGGGTGTCTCCCAGTCCTTGGTGTGTGGATGCTGCCCTCACATCCTCCCCTCGTTCCCTGAAGACCACCCTGTCCCAGTTCCTGAGTCTGCTCCGTGTCAACGCCATTGCTGTGCTCCCCGTGCAGAGCTGGCTGCTTCTGTACTTCAGTCCAGCTAGACTGGCTGTCTCAAGTGCACATTCGAACAACGTGACTTGGACTGAGCATGTTGCTGGCTCAGTGGCCAAGAGGGCATGGATGTCTTCGCTGAAGTCTGGGCTGCTGTGCAGGGAGCCCAGAGCAGTGCTGGTAAAGTTATTTCTTTAAACTTTGGAGCAGCTTTAAGTGCGGACTTGAATCCCAAGTGTTGATTAATAGCTATGCTCTGGAAGAAGTCACGTGCCCCACAACCAGCACAGCTAAAGGTACATGCTGGCCAAGGAATGCCTGTCATCGGGCGCCCTCTGGGTGGGGGAGGAGAGCGGTCCCTAGAACAGGAAGTCTTACAAAGCATCTGCTCTTCTTGTCCTCTAGACTGGATTGGGCAGGGGTGAGCTGCCACTGGCCCCGCCCTGGGCTCTGCACTCCCGTGCGGTTGCCCACAGAGGACTGGCAAGGTCTGCCAGGAGCCAGGGTTCTGGCTTTGGCTGTGTCCCGTGTCTCCTGACCAGCAACCAGCCTTCCGAGGAGAGGTGGTCGCACCTGCAGGGTAGAGCCTGGGAAGCCGTTCCTTTCGGCCAATTCCTTCCTGGTGCCTTGTGCTGCACCCGGTGGCTTTCCCCAGCCATTCAGGCACGGTGCTCCTTCACTTATTCACCGAGTTATCAGAGCAATAAAGGGTGGCCCAAGCCTCCAGCTCCTCCCAGGCCTGGGGTCTGGGCTTTGGACTGCCACCAAGCCTCACGAGGGTGGCCACGCCTTTGAGGTTGGTGGTGCTGATGTGCGGCTCCGCGAGGTCAGTTCAGTGGGTCTCATACTGCGCAGGCCTGTCAGGGCGTGGTCACACAAGCACACAGCAGGTGCAGCAGCCAGCGCCTCCACCCTCCTGCCTGGCGGTGCCTGGGAGCCCTTGTGCACATCTCTAGCCCACAAGAGGCAGTTGTACTGTGTGAGCCCAGATGCACATTAAACTGTCAGCCACACTGATTCCGCCCTCCTTGTTCTGGTGCACGGTCACGGGGGGGGGGGGGGGGGGGGGGGGGGGGGGCCGGTGAGC